GTCCTCTTTTGGAAGACCAAACAAAGTAGTTTCGCTTTCACAACGAAGCACACAGCGTCTTCAGGATATGGCGGCGGCAGCAATACTACAGTGAGAATAAAAGTTACGCCTTCTTTCTTTGCGTGAACATTTGGGCGGCGTTATGCAAATCTTCCCACAGAGCGACGTAGGTATGTTGGGGCGTGTTAGAACGAGCCGTTTTAGGTAGGTGTGGCTGACTCTGAACTTTTATAAAGAATATCTCTTTGGATTTGAGACTTTAGTCTTTGCAACTTTACAGATCTTCTTTATGCACCAAGAGCTTGTAACACTCCAAAGAGAAAGGACAAATTGAAATCGCATCATATGACCCCTTTAAATAAATGTTTTATAAATTAATTATATGCAATAAATTACTTCAACTAATTTATGTTTTCTTAACTTATTCTATAGAGGGATAATAAGCAAAATAAAAAAAATAACTTTATATAGAGAGAAAAAACTAATTTAAAAAATAGTAATTTATTAATAATGAATAAATTACATCACAGCTACATATATTGTACAACATAGATAGATAGATAGATAGATAGATAGATAGATAGATAAACAGAACACTAGACAGATACATAGATAGATAGATAGATAGATAGATAGAACGGCGGACAGACAGACAGATAGATAGATAGATAGATAGAACGATATATAGAACGATAGAACGATAGATAGATTAGTTAGATTGGCACTTGTGTCCACTTAATAAGTTAGCATCTATAGCCTTTTATGAGTCTTGCCCAGTGAAGACTGTCATCTGAGAGAAATTATAGTGCATTTAGAAAAGAGACGAGCCATTTTATAGCTCTCTTCTTATGATTGGTTCTCCTGTGACAGTTCTTACCATCTGAAATCCATATTCCTAGTAGCAAGGAAACAGGCGCAGGGCAGAAAGAGAGAGACAGAGAGATAAGGAACGATGAAGAGAGAGAAATGGAAGGAGAAAAAGACAAAGCCACATCTGGTGTCTATTGCATTGCCGCATATGTGCTCAGTCATGGATACTTCATATAGGTCTCCATAGTTACCACAACTCTCTGGCCAATCAGAGGAGAGGCCTGACTGTGCCACAGGGAGGGGTGTCAAGGGTACGGTGTCATCTTCTAGAAGAATTTGCATGCTTTTAATTACACCCACGCCACAACTTCACCACACAATTTTTACTTTCAGGAAGCTTTAACCGAGAAAGTAGTACCACCAAACCTTTTCTAACCCTCCTCTGCTGTAATACAGTCATTAGGCTCTGTGACAGACAACCACACCAACATCTGCCTGTTCATCTTCTTGAGAACTCTATTACTGTACATGTTATTATGGAAACCTGAGTCGTTTTTATCATCTCAGCACGCAGTGGGATACGATGTTTGTCATTGCACACAACATGCTTGTTTCTTCCTTTTTTATAAATGAGGGAGTCATGTCATCAATCATGTTATTAAATAATTAATTTATGATGTCCTAGTAAGGGTCTGCTCACACTCCTTCACCAGGAGACAAACACAATAACCAGTAGTCACTCTTTTTTACTCTTTACTCTTTCAGGAAGGACATACAATGATCTGAACCAGTATCCTGTTTTCCCATGGGTCCTCACAAACTATGAGTCAGAAGAGCTGGACCTCACAGTTCCCGGCAACTTCAGGGATCTTTCAAAGGTAAAACATCTATCTATCTATCTATCTATCTATCTATGAACACAGAATGACATTTTAGTGGGTGTCTTCTGTAAATCATGGTAAAAATGTATGAAAGTCATACATTTTTTGCTCGTAAAAAATCAAATTAATCAGGACATTTTAATGTGCAGGGGAAAAAATAAATCTGTATTGAACCTTTGTTTTGATGCTTGAATATTTAGGGTGGACAGTGTTCTCAGGTATTTCCTCTCAGTATCTTGAATCAGATTTTAGATACATACAGTATACTGTACACTCAAAGTGTTCATGGTTTTAGGTTTGCATGCTTTAGAAGTAAATCATTTGCATTTCTATCTCCACTTCTCCTCTCCAGCTCCTCTATACCTTCATCAGGTTGTCACGTTCTCTCTTTCTCATTCACTCATTTGCTTACGTTTACATCTCACAAGCTCACTGACCTGAAAACAACCACATTCCTGTCTGAGCGTATCTTTCTCTATATAACTCTATCTCTTTTCCACACCCACTCTTATCCTCATTTCCAAATCATTTCTAAAACTGCAGACTAGAAGACTGTTCCGCTGTTTTTTGCTGTTTTCTCCACAACCATTTGTGGAGACTAAGTGGCCATTTCTTGGTCGGAATAAGTTTGTGGAAAAGATCTAGTGCCGTTGACTATATTTAACCTTAGCTATAATACTTACCCTTTCTGCATTCAGCATCAGTAATATCTGTTTAAATTCCCTCTTCCTACAGCGCTGTAATCCCTGAACATGTCAGCGTGGCACCAGGTGGGCAGAGGAAGCCCCCTGGCCTGAGGAAGACAGTGATGTATTGTAATGTATGCTTGTGACATCCACCCTGTGCTGTTTACCAGCTTGAGCTGCCTTCATTAGCAGGAGTTCACAGGCCTGCGGCCGTCCTGACGCATGTCCTTGGCCAACCTGGGGCTCTAACCTCTGAAGGTTCAGTGCTGCTGAAACAAAACCTTTGTTTTAACCTCCCTGCTGAGTCCCTTGCTGTGAAGACCCCTGCCTTTGTTCAATAATGTATGGAGGGGTGTGCAGCCTCGGGGGTGAATGTGCGTAGGAGGGGAGTGTGTGTTATTGTAGATAATGAGGGAGGCGGCTTTTTTGGCTTTGTGGTGAATATGCTTTGTTCGGTTCCTCTTCGTTTTTCCCCCAATATTATAAAAAATTGTGTTCATCCACAGATCTATCTATCTATCTATCTATCTATCTGTCTGTCTATCTATCTATCTATCTATCTATCTATCTATCGTTCTATCGTTCTATACGTCAAGCTTCAAACAAGGCTTTATCAATCCAATTTTTTTAGCTATACAGTATAAATTTTATAAAGTTTCAATTAATTTAAATTCTACTTCCTTACATTCAAATTCTGTGTCCTGTTTGCTGCATCATTTTTAATTCGAGAATTAAATTGAAATTAAAAATACATTTATAATTCAACTCTCAAAATTTGCACATCTCAGTTTATATATACACACACAAACTTGGGTTTATTGAGGGCATCAACAAATAGTCAGCCTTTACTACGTGTATATGTCCTCAATAAACCCAAAAAGCAAATATTGCCATCTTGCAGTGCAAACGTGTCTTGGAAAACAAGTTGGGCTGCTGATTCTTCTGAACACACCCTCAAATTCTCACCTGCCATTCTCACACAACTCCCAGAGCCCCAGACACGCAAACCATGCACCACCGTTCCGTGAGCTGTGATCACGTGGCCTGTCCGGCAGGAAAAAGCTGCCAGTCATGCTGGTGAGAATGCCCTGCAGCGTTGTCCTGATGGGCAGCATTGTGGAGAACTGCCGAAATATCCCGCTTGATATGTACCATAATTCCCCTCTCAACCCCACCTACAATACACACCTGAAGTTACTCCACCAATAGTGTGTGCATTCAACTGTACAGCGAATAACGAAAAACAGGTCTCTGGGCACCCCGGGGCTAAGACTAGCACATTTTTGCATGGCAGCTACATTGACATGGCGGACAGATTTATTAGAATCTAATGATTATTTCCTTTTTGACAGACAGGTGGCTGATAGAAAAGGGAAGCTGTCTTGCTCGCAGATATTAATTGGCGCGTGCTAATGCGAAGCCATCATACGCTAGACCCGCACTGAGCGCACCCGCGCCAACTCTCTGCTGCGATACCGCGTTATTCCACTTCTTTTGTGCAGCTTTGACAGGAAATTAGATGAAGTGTCTCTAACAGATCTTTTCAAATGGGCTAGCGAGGTAGAGCGGAGAACTGGCAGCAAACATAATTACCTGAGTTGTGCAAATCTCTTGTTATGAATGTCTGATTGTTCAAGCGAACGTAATTCTAGTTGACTGGACTTGCATTCACACAATTATCTCGCCAAATATGAATCCCCATGTATCAGTCAAATATGTCTCATGAGTTGTTTATCATTTTTACATGTTAGAACTTATAATATGTAAATATAGAATTTAGGGCTGTGCAATTAATCGAAATACGATTCCGATTTCGGCCTCCAACGATTATGAAAATACAATTATCGAGATAAAACGATTATTGCACCCCATTCCGCCCCCTTTCTAGTGGTGCACTTTCACTCCTCCATAAAAGCCTAATTTCACGTGCAAATCAGTAAAATCATGTAACATGACTTTTGCAAAATGGGACGTGCTTGATTTATTCATGTTGATTAGAATTATTCATGTTTTTAAAAGCGCAAACTTGCCCTGTTCCTACTGTTTATGTGCTCAGAGACGGAACAGAACACAGGCATGTAGTAAACTTTTAGCTCAAGGTGCGCGCCTAAACGGTCAAATACTCTGAAAAATTTCCGTGATTATTCACGTAAGAATGAAAATACGTGTGTAACAGTAAATTGGATCCGTGCAGCTCTTAAAGTGACAGGGGGCTATATTCCTGCTTTCGACTGGGTGCTTAATATCAATCAAACAACAATAGACAAAGACAAAATCACTTACTGCTCTAGACCAAAGGACTTTTTGTAGCTTTATTAAGTAACAAATTAAGTTTAATTCTTACAGTGAAGATTATTCTGTTTTTAACAAAAATTTGATTATTCATATTTATCGCTATCTTTAAATAAATCATTCATTTAAAATTTTGGTCATATGGCCCACTTATAATCGTGTTAAATAATCGTGATTACAATATTGACCAAAATAATCGTGATTATGATTTTTGTTAAAATAAAAAGAATTGTAGGCTTTTTCAAACACCTGGAAGAATTCCCATGTATCAGTGAAAAATAATTATCATAAGTTATTCATAATTTTCACATAACTTTTACATTAAAATAGTATACATTTTTTGCATAAATATAGAAGTTCAGTTTTATATTGGGTTGTCGGTTATCTCTAAATGGATTTTAGACATTTTCTTTTAAAAAAAGTATTTTAAAAATCCCATATACACTGAACAAAATTATAAACGCAACACTTTTGTTTTTGCCCCCATTTTTCATGAGCTGAAGGTAAACTATAATGACAGCGTATTTATAAATTGTCTAATGGTACTTGTTTTAATTTCCGAAAGCACAAGCAACGGTTGCGTTCATAAAGACAATATGACATACACATCCAGTGCGATTATCTTAAACTTACAGCGTAATGTTAGACTCAAAGCCTGCATTTATATCGTTCCAGCTCATTAGTAGAATAAATCTTTGCATCTTCTTTTAAAAAGTATTTAAAATGTGACAGCTGTTATATATATATATATATATATATATAGCTTAACCCAAAGTCAAATGCTTTTCTTTTATAGAGAGTGAACAAATGGATCCTTAAAGCTTTTTTTGTGGCATCTTAAATCGTATTGTCTCCTATATGGCAAATAGCTTTTTAATTAGCAGCTAATTATCTTATTGAACACATATTGTCCCTGTACACGTGTCTCTGAGGGTTTCATTTAATTAGGTCACAAGGGATGTGTTCATATTCTTCATTAAGTAATATGTGTGATCATGTGATATATGCATTGGCGACCTTTATTTTGTGCCCACAGATGTATGCGTCCTAATTATAATTGATGAATAAAAATTAACACATTTTCAGATATCACATAGCCATAGAGTTGATTAGTTGCTATATCTTTAATATATATACACACACATATATATATACACACACATGTGTGTGTGTATTACATTATTATAGTATTACTATTAGTATTATTGGATTTTTTTAATAAAAGCGTGTGAAGTATTACAACTTCTGGTACATTTTTAATGGGGGGAAAAATCTATGCTTTTTTCCAGTCAAATCATGTGCTTTAATTATGTTGGACTTTTGTCCAAGATGTCTTTTGCCAAGATCCAGAATTCTCTTCTTCTTCTCTTCTATTCTTTATCGTTTGCCCTGCTCTCACTATTAGCATCTGTTGCAGGGTGTTTCCTCCGGATAGCTTGGGGAACGGGAGTCTGGAAAGCCTTAAATTTACACCAAGTCCTGTTTTTTATTTAAGACCGATTCCCTACAGGGTCTTGAGTAAGACAATTACATGGTTCTTTGTTCACCCTGTTAAGTGCACTGAGCATGTCATTGAACTTTGAATAGGAAATAGTAAATTGCTAGATGGCTAGTGCGGTTAACATATATGTTTTTTCCCCCCCCCGTTTCCCCAAAAAAGCACAGTAGCAGCTTTGTCCTTTTAAAATACTTGTTTAAATAGCAACATAAGTTGTTGCAACATAAGTACATAAAAAATCAGAATCAGAATGTTTTTTTTAACTCCTTTAGCATAGCTTTTACTCTCTTTCAGTGCGTTAGCTTCTCCAGAAGTCATCATAGTGCAGTTTTAAAACGACTATATCTACACAACTGAAAACAAAGATGTACAGTTTTGCTGGTATTTGACACAGCGCTGGAAAACATTTGTGTTGCCTGTCTGTTCCACAGCTGCTGTGCTGAACCGGGCAAACACTCCATGTCATGCCTAGCACAATATTTCCTCGGTTAAGTGGGTATTTTTGCTGCTATGAGATGGAC